TGGGAAAAAAAATTCAACTAATTATTTCCGGATTGAACGTGCTATGCTGTCATTAATGGTATCTGACAACTCTTTAGATTGCATTAAACACTGTATTGCATATTTTTAGACATGGAGATGACTCAAAGCCAATGAAAAGGTACAGACAGGTTATATGAGACTGTGATGCTGTTTTACCTACGGGGCTTAAGGATCAGCAGATTTGGATGTCTGCACAGTAGTCCTGGAACCTATCCCCAACAGCCACCAACAGACAACTAGACTCTGTGGTTGTCATCAAAGTCAAGGAATAAGAGACCCCCCTTCCTAGCGGTTGTCTCTCCAAAAAGTTCCATTGTCCTTACCGTTGCTTCTATATTGTGCTAGAAACTTCCTGTGACAAAGGTCAAGTGTGACCACCATGACTTTCAAGCGAAGCAAGTTAAGTAATGGCATCTGCCAAGGCCTCCTTACAACAAGCAAGCTTCTACTTTCTCTTTTGCTGTGTGTTTCCCAAAGAGGAAAGGCAGCAGCTTTGCACCAAACCTCTCTGCACCTACACAGCACCTGCAGAAATTATTTTAAAAGTGCATAAACTTCTAACATGGGTGTCTTCGTAGAGATAACAGGTGTCTCGGAGGTGGTTTTGTTCTCAGAAGCAAAACCAAACAATTTGCTGAAGATCATGAATTTCTATTCATTTCCAGTTTGGAAATAGTAGAGGGTTTCTAAAGGCACTAGCCATCGAGGCCAAGGCAAAGAGCCTCAGCCCAAAGAATGAAGCACTTAAGAAGGAACAGGGAGAGCTGGGCTTGGTGGTACACACCTTTAACCCCAGCACTCGGGAGGCAGAGGCAAGTGTATCTATGTGAGTTTGAGACCAGTTTGTTCTACACAGTATACATAGTGAATTCCAGGACAGCCAGCACTATATAGAGACCCTGTCTAAATTTTAAAAGAAAGAAAGAAAGAAAGAAAGAAAGAAAGAAAGAAAGAAAGAAAGAGAGAAAGAGAGAAAGAGAGAAAGAGAGAAAGAGAGAAAGAGAGAAAGAGAGAGAGAGAGAGAGAGAGAGAGAGAGAGAAAGAGAGAAAGAGAGACAGAGACAGAGAGATAGAGACAGAGAGGAAAAAAAGAAAGAGGAAAAGAAAGAGCAGGAAAACCTGAAGCATCTTGTAGATGAGGTAAAAAGTCATACCTATCCCCCCCACACACACACACACACACTGGTATGCATATACAAACGTGCAAAGAGTTCAAACCTAGCATGGATGCTTGAAGAAACAACCAGAAAGATGCAGTCTAAAGAGAAAGTCCTTAAGAGTCAGATCTGCCTCCAGCCCAAGCCCTGGGCATCAGGTTTACTTTCTCTAAAACAGAAATAGTAAGAATGACATCATGGAACCACCATGAAGCTCAAATAAGATGCAATATACAAGTCTGAGAAGAAGGCTCAGTACTTAAAGCTCTTGTCCACCTGGCCAGCATGATCTGACATCTAAGCTCTACTTAGGAGATGCACTGGTTTGGTGGCCACATATAATCCCAGAAGATAGGAATCAGAGACAAGGTATTCCCAGAGCAAGTTGGCTAGCTACACTAGCCAGAATCAGCTGGCTCCAAGTTCGAAGACCCTGTCTCGATAAATGAAATTAAGAGTGATTTTAAAAAGACAATGTCAACTTGAACCTTCCAAGTGTAACTGCTCATACATATATACACCCACACACGTGTCCACCCTCATGGTTACACACAGGCAAACACACATGCACACACACAAAAAGAAACAATATGCTAAAATACTTCGCACAATGTAGCCTGACAAAACACAATCAATACCAGCTATGTTCTCCCTCCTCTGTGTCTTTCTGGGCTTTCTTTCCTTTCCTTTTGACTCACTTAAATAAGAATTCTTACAGCAGTTAAAATAAGAACTCCCTACATATTATATAGTCATTTACATACATGTATCTGTTGCAACACCATTATTTGCAAAGAAAAAGGAAGTAGTAATTTTAACAGAAAAGTACCAGATTCGTTGCATCGCCTGCTAAAACCTTTTGCTTTACAGTCTACAGGAACCATTTGCTCTTGGGAGTGCAGATTCTGAAAGGGGAAAAATGCTCTTGGGAAAAAAATCATCCCCCCAAAAGTACAGCCAATGAAAGAAAAGATAATGAGGGGAAATCTAGGGGTATATAGAAGAAAAGAT